TAAGTTATAATTAAAAATACTTTGCAGATTAATCAAATAATACATTAATTTTTGATTAATTTGTTAGAAAAGTTTTCTTTACAAATTATTCAAACATAACAAAACAATATTTTGTTATTAAACCTATCGATGATTTTAAAGATTGTTAATATTATTGTTAGTGTCATACATGCCTATTTTTTTAAGCATATATATTAAACAGGCTTGGGTATGTTTATTCAAAAAAGTTTAAGAGAAATATGCTTAAGCTTACAAAAACAAGTGCATTCTTGAAAGTCTTTAAAGCAAGAAAATAAAACTTTTATGTTCTGACAAATACTGATTTTTTGTTTTGCTACACAATACTTTAATTAGAATTTTCATGCATAAAATAAGCAGTGCTGCATTTGTGGCTTCTGTGCCCGTAGGCACAGAAGCCACAAATGCAGCACTGCTTATTTTATGTGCAAGTATTTTTGTGCAAGTATTTGTTTCCGACACTTTTACCTTTTGCTGTTTAAAATCATTGTTATTCATTTTATGCTACTCATAGCAATACTTTTGAAAAATTCAAATAAGTTCAAAATGGATTCTGATTATGCTATTAAAAAAAAAGATAAAAATACCTGATAAAATTTTTCAAAGAAAGTAATAAACTAAGCACCCCTTTTTGTTACGTTATAATGACAATGGTAAATGTTATAATGACAATATTTGTTATAATGATATTTTGAAAATAATATTATAGTTAAAACTGTTTCAAATAAATATAAAAATAATTCTTAGAATGAAATCAAAATTCCGAAGCCTCCTAAACAGCCTGATAAACCATTACCTGCGTACATGAGGTATAGTAGAAAGGTAAATTTATTTTTTAAATAATATTCATTGCATATAATTTGAAATACTAAATAATGTAAAATATCACCATAAATTTCTAATGACTATTTGTTATTTTATTTTATTTTTTTGCATATTTTTAATATTTTTTCAATATATATTCAAGGTGTGGGAAGCAGTAAAAATGCAACACCCTGAAATGAAAATGTGGGATATTGGAAAGTTAATCGGAGAACAGTGGAGGAACCTTCCTGAAGATGAAAGGCAAGTAAGTAAAATGGTGTTAAACACTATTTTTATTTTACACAAATAACTGTGAACACCAAAAACATATTTTACTTAATTCGGAATTAATTGCAATGAAAAAGAGTGAGCTAGCAAAGGCACTTGATCTAAAACAAATCAGTGGTTTAAAAAAAGCAAACTCTGTGTAAACCAATAGAGAAGCACACACTATGTGATAAATTAATTTAGGAAATTAACTTTATAAAGATTAACGGAAAAATCTTTATTAGTTACCTTTAAAAATCCTAATCACCTTTGCAAGTTTTTAATTTTTACTCTCTTAATAATTTGCTAACAGCATTTTGATATAAATAATGAATATTAATACAGCATGCAAGATGAATTTTTATTTTCAAAAAAAAAAACTTTCACTTTATAAATAAAGTCAGTCGATGTATTTCTTCTACCTGCATATTTGTCCAAGTCAGCAAGTCAGTCCAACCAACATTAAGATAAAGCGTCTGTGCAGGTTGTTTGTAACCAAACTTAGAAGTGATGATATGAAAACGCAATTGATACTTCCTTAGTTTCTTAAAAACTCATGTTAAGTTAAGAAATAATAAATATGGTAAGAATTAAAACTAATATAGGTTTAACTGATATGAAAAATTACAAATAATTTATTTCACACATTTAACTGTGGTTTTTTAGTCTATTAGGTAATGTTCTGATCCGGATCATAAATATGTATGGTTATGCATTATTATATATAAATTATTATCTGAAATATCAACATTATTACTATAGTTATAAGCAGTAAACAGCTGAATTTTGCCTAAAATTCAACAGCTATTGTAAGCTCTAAACTGTCACAGACAAGTGTTCAGATTTAATATTGGTTGACTTTTTATCATAACTAGAGTATATAATTCAGGCTTGGCCAAGTGCGATCTCAATTTATTCCTGACCACGAGAACATTTCAGATATACACAAAAAAAAGCTTAACTTGACTGACAAGAAAGAACTTTTAACAAAAAAAAAAAACTAAAAAAAAATAATGATCTCTGGAAAAAAAATGTTTCGATGAATATCATTTAAGTACTAAGTAAATCTATTTATCTTTTATTAAACAATTAGCTTAGTAATAGTTTTATCTTTTCTAAAATAATTAACTTATTATTAGTTTTATTTATTTTCCTCTCGTTCTTCTGATTTCATCATTACCCTTTATACAATTTAATTTATACCCTTACCTCTTGATATAATTTGATAATATTTAATCTTTTTTTTTTTTTTGTCATTTAGGGATTTTTTGCAGAATACGAAGTTGAAAAGCTTGAATATCAGGATGCTATGAAATTTTACCATAATTCTAATGCATACAGAGAGTGGTTAAAAGCTAAAGAAAAAGGTAATATATAATTAAAAAACATGTTTATACTTTTAATTAAAATT